TAAAAGGAGAGACACCCCTGATGCCGTGGGCGCTCGAAACTTGGAAGCGAGGAGGTTGGCAGTGAGCCCGGCGACTATGGTTGGCCAGGGTGTACAGGGCTGCTCTGCTGTTGCACAGTACTGCAACCGACTCTGCAGGGGGATCCTCGGCCAGGACGTCCGCTGCGAGGTGAAGCCCCGCCAGCTCCGCAGTCGTGGAGCTTGCCGGGAAGGGCAGCTCGCATTGTCTGCTGCTGGCCCTGGATGGGATGACACAAGCTGCTGCTTCAGTGTTGTCTAGCATGACGGATCCGTCAGTGAAAACCTGCAGTTGTCCCTCCAGCTGCTCCTGGAGCTTGCAGGTGGTGGCCTGCTGCAGTCGGCCACAGGTTTTCAGCGCTCGGTTGTCCCATCAAAGAAGAGGTGGACCTCTGGCAGCCGGTGCATGTGCATGCATGTGCTAGCGGAAAACAGGCTTTCTTTCACCCAATGATAATGACTCTAGTACACAGCGTCTTTTGAATTGTACGAAGCGTCAGGTGATGTCATGCCAGCTGTTGTCGATTAGGGAAAGGCAGGGAAAGGAGCTTGCAAGCGTCTGTTGGTGGTTTACGGGCCCTTTAAAATAGGCAACATTACTCGAAACAATATTGAAAGCAGAAAAGAAACAGAAAAGTGCAGTTGGTCGGCGCGACTCGCATTGAAGTCTCACATTAACAACGTACCCACTGTGCCTTAAAAAATCAACGCAGTATGGCTAACAATCGGCACAAACAGCGACGCGATCTTGCGAAAAAGCAAAATTACGGCGCCCTGAAAGCATTAAAATCAATTTTGATACATTATAGAAAATAAAATAAAATAATAACGGGGTTCGAACCGACGACCTGCGGCACGACTGCATCTGCAACTGTGCGTCAATCTACTGCGCCATCCGAACAGCTGGGCAGTAGCATCTAAAACGATGACAAATTTACGGCAATGCCCCCCTTCCCCTCCTTTTTATCATTACATTATGGTGACGGGCCCTTTCACCTTATTCACTCACTGCTTTACGGTGACTGCGCCCATCGCTATACCTGCATCGCTATTATGACAGGCCCCGTCACTGTTACGATTTCACTACGGTGACGGGCCCCCTCACTCTCATGATAGTACTGCGCTGACAGGTCCCATCACTGTAGTCATGATTACACTATGCTGATGAGCCCCCTCAGTCTAACGGTAGTACTGTGCCGACAGGCCCTGTCACTGCAGTCACTACACTATGCTAACTGGCACCTCACTCTATATTGTACTGTGCTGACGGGCCACGTCACTGTAGTCACGATTACACTATGCTGATGGGCTCCCTCACTCTAAACACAGTACTACGTTGACGGGTCTCGTCACAATAGTCACTGCCTTGGACATGTGTCAGAACATGCTGCACAACCCATTTCTATGCCCTCTTCAGCCATGTTTATTTCGAACAATTGTGGATTAGACAAAAGACACAATAATGGAGTTACGAATAATTTTGTTTTTCCTCTTGTTAGTATCGCAATTCGATATGTGTTCTTCCCTCCTCTGGGAAAAGATCATACGAGTTTTGTAGTGTGCATGAGCATAAACTGCTCATTCTATTTAGTCATAGTCTGTGAATGGTGTACTCTAATCAACACATTAGTAACTATTAGCACTAAAGTTGAAGCCCGTGCAATGTATTAAATCACTATTACATCACCAAAAATTACTTTTAGAAGAAACTCCAAACGTCTAGTTGGAAATTCTAGCTTTAAATTGTGGAAACACGCCGCCGCCAACGGCATCAGCTCCATGACCGAATACACTGCAAACAATTTTACAAATAGCTGTGACCTTGGAAGTAGGCAGTATACATTAGCTTTAGACATGTTAGCATTTTAATGTCGATATCTCATCTCAGTGGTGCATTTTATGGCGCCATTTCATTCTGTGCCTTTAAGTTAAAGTTATTTTTATTCGAAGATATGAGCTAGTGGTTTTTATCAAGGACCTTCACTGGAACGAGCTCCAAGGGTGTGGGGAATTGGACATTTACAATTCGGAAAATCAATTCTGTGGCTTGACAAGCCGGCACATACACGATTACAAGGATCGCCAAATAAGTTTTTTTTTTCACATAGAACACACTAGGACCCAGACTACCCAAATTTTAGCCGAAGCGAACTCACTCGAACTCAAGCTCACCATGGCAAAACTCAGCCGGGTTCACTAGCACTCCGACTAACCTAAGTATAACTCAGTCGGACACACTCAGACTGTGCCTCATGCCTCAATCCGAGTCTTTCAATTCCTTTGATCGACTCATCAGTGACTTTCTCAAACTATAATGGGAACACATCTCTCGTTCACGTCACGCGTTGATGAAGATGTTTTGTGTGCGTTCACTTTGGTAAAATATGGGAGAATGAGGAAGGGTGGTTCATATGCCCACATGACGATAATAGGGATGATCTTTAGCAATCTACATAAAAAGAAACCAGAGAAAAACACAAATGCAGAGTAGGAACCAGGGAAGACAAGTGCTGGACTTACAACTAAATGTTCATTAAAGAAAGCCACTACTCAAATGAACCAGAAGCACATGCTTAAAAAAGATATCTAAGCCACAGTTGCACAATTAATCGCAAATTTTTTCCAACAAATGTTTCAAGGTGGTATAAGCAGCCGATTTCCATGGAACACCAAAATATCAATGCGAACCGCGAGTTATTTATCTGCGAGGAAGGCTGGGGGATCACTCACACATGACACTTCGCCGTTTTTATTTCGAGAACTTCAGGAGCTTCGCCTTCAATCTTTTCTGTTTTTCCTTTGCCAATGACATTCAATGATTTGAAAGAATTTCCTTTGTCATGCGGCCTTGTTTACAGAGATCAGACAGGTCGAGGCCTAGTGACACCGATAGGCAGTGTGAACATCCTTGAGGCACAATGACCTCTTCCCTAGTCTCTGCATCATCGATATATCAGTGTCATTGGCAAAGGAAAAAAATAGATTGAACGTGAAAATTTTGAAGCCTTAGAAAACAAACCAAAAAAAGGGCAAAGTGCAACGCATGTATATAAGTGATCCCTAAGTTGTCTATACAGCTAAAATCTGTACCTGTGATCTGCAATAAAGTCGAACCACACCAAATCACTACCAGTGCCAGAAATAAATGTATCTTCTACCTTAAAATATACAGTACTTCATGTGATGTGTTGAAAATACAGCTAAGGCCCCGCCACGGTGGTCTAGTGGCTAAGGTATTCGGCTGCTGACCCGCAGGTCGTGGGATCGAAACCCGGCTGCGGCACCTGCATTTTCAATTAAGGTGGAAATGTTGTAGGCCCGTGTGTTCAGATTTGGGCACATGTTGAAAAACCCCACGTGGTCAAAATTTACGGAGCCTTCCACTGCGGCGTCTCTCATAATTATATGGTGATTTTGAGACGTTAAACCCTACATATCAATTAATCAATCAAAATACAGCTACAGATACGTAACTTGCCAAGTGTCATAATACAGATGCAAGACATCCAAAGAGTACATATAGTTTATTATAACCTAAGAATAAACAGCCCAAAGTACTGCGGTGCACCTATCATCCGCACCAGTCATGCTCATTGGTATGGGTTTTAAACCATAGCTACCTTTTCGCTGCTAATGTAAATAATGTGCATATGAATTGAATGATTGTCGCCCCTTGTTAAAATGTTGCATTTGGTTAAGCAGCAGTGTCATCATGCTTAAATTTGCCAGAAAGATCGTTTTCTACCAAAGACATGGTCAATGAACACGATTCTGTATGGTATAATCACCACCTGAAACACAAGAGAAGCACTGATTGATTGATATGTGGGGTTTAATGTACCAAAACCACCATTGATTATGAGAGATGCCGTAGGCTCCGGAAATTTCGACCACCTGGGGTTCTTTAACGTGCACCCAAATCTGAGCACACGGGTCTACAGCATTTTCGCCTCCATCGAAAATGCATCCGCTGAAGCCGGGATTGGATCCCGCGACCTGCTGGTCAGTGGCCGAGTACCTTATCCTCTAGACCACCGCAACGGGGCACACCAGAAGTGCTCAAAGTCGCATAAATGAAGGCATGCGAGTGGGATCAGGCATCAATGCAAATTCTCTGCAAAGCACAGCAATGTCTGTGGGTGGAGCTTACGTTTATTATAAGGTTGTAATGGACTAACGATAGCATCCAAAATCACATGTGTCTTCAGTACTGCCAAGCCCTGGCAAAAGCCAGAACAAACTGCGGACTTTTCATTCAATGAACTCCCCAGCAGACTACAACGTTAACTTCAGGAAACCACAAGCATACAGTAGACTTTTTGTTAAAAAGAACCTTCAAAGACCTGGAAAATATATTCCATTGATAAAGAGAAAAAAGGGTGTGGTATTTACATATGAAAACGGTATCTTATATGCACTTGTTTCTATTAACTGAGCAACAGTGCAGATTAATATATGTATAATATTTTTAAAAATAGGTTAATATTAATGAGATGCTTAAATGATATTAAACTCCAGGAGTCAGAATATTTTACAATCTGCTCAAAACAGATGCTACAAACTAGCATGTTTTATGCTCCAAAAAGCAAATTTTTGGTTTCTTTAAAAATAAATATCTTGAAAATATAAACATTATGTTAGCAACCATGAAGTCAGTGCTATTCCGAGAAGCAGTTTCACTGAATTACGCCGATTATCTCGGAGCACACCTTTCTCATGCCTCACTTCGCTTTTGGCAGCATTACACTAAAACCTCATTATCACATAATCACACCTGCCACAAAAATACCTTGTTCGATCCGAAAATTTGTTATAAATAAATACTTACAGCACTCTATGACAGCTATTCTTTTTTCATTTACTTTGTTATAACCAATATTTGTTAGTATATCCAAGTTCGTTATAGTATCAAGGTTTGAGTGTATCATGAAGACAAAAAGAGAGGACTTTTTTGGTGACAATACTATTGAAACACTAAAACAAGCATTGATGGAATGCTTTTATTGACAGTAAGCAACAAAATTGAATGACAAAAATAATGAACACATCCACAGAAATCATCATGCACCTTTTATGAACCTCGTCATTTGCTGACCGTGCATGGATTTGACAGAGGAGGCAAGAAATTACTTAGCATCTGGCAGTATTCTGTGCCTGAAGACTGTAGACAAATTATTCTGTAAATTTATAACAATGATATGAACAAACACACTTGGCAGCAGAGATCCAGATTTATCCAAACTGAAAACTGAAGCCGCTGGGAAAGCCAAACCCTGCTTCATGTTGAAAAGAACCAGGACCGGCAAAGAATCCAGGGGTTTCAAAGAATGTCCTGAAGACAGGAGGACTACCACCTGGAAGTTTTGAAAAAATAAAAAAAATAAGAAGTCAAGAACAGAAGTAGAAGTGCATCAGTCAATTCTGCAAAAAATGATTTTCCAGCCTACCTGAATTAGAGCTGTCCATGTCATCCAAATCATGCCCTTCATCATATCGCACTCGCTTCTTCGGGTCAGAAAGAATGTTGTATGCCTCGCCAACCTCCTTAAATTTTTTCTCATGTTCTCGCTTTATGTCCTCAGGAGCATCGGAATGTCGATCTGAATATACAAAAACAAAACAATGCATTGCAACAGTACACTTGCACTGCCTGAAATGCCTACAAAGAACAGAGCAATCGACAAATTATCAGCAGCCTTAGAACTAGATATAATTAAATCTAGAAGATTCATTCTATACAGTACACAAAAAAAATGAGCAGGGAATGGGCAATAAACATGAAGCAGTAACACTGCACATCACGGAGTACTTTGTTAATAACTCAAGAGCTCTGTCCTAGCTATGCACTTTTGACAATGCGTTGTATGCGTACATATCCATTCACCCCTTCCAAAGCCCACAGCCAATTGAGAAATTTCTGCACAGACGCATTTGTAGAGTAACTCCGAAAAACCATGTATGGAGGTAGCTGCCAGTTTCACCGAAATGCGTAACACAAACTGTATGCAGATTGGTGCATGGCTCGGACATTACAGAGTGCAGAGACCAGAGAAAAAGCACACGTGTGACCACTTTCATGACGATGACACCATGGCTTTTAAAGTACTTACATAAATCTGCCAAGTGCACAGAAAAAGATTATTTATGTGTTCTTTAAATGTGAGCAGTTCCAAGACATAAGGCTCAAGTTGAACTTAAAACCAATGATATCCTATTGAAAGTAAACAGCTATCCATACAACCTTTCAAAGGAGGAGGAGAATGCCATTCGGGGGCTCAAAAGGTGCAAGGGTGATTCCTTGTAAGATCGATCAAAGCATGGCCGGTTGACCTTTTAAATTTCTTTCAAAATTTTGTATATTGTTGCTTGATGAGAGGAAAGAAGAGATCCACAATTAGTTTTGCTAGAAAAAATTTCCCGAGGCACAATAAATCAATAATGACGAAAAGGTAGAGTGCCATGCTTACTTGCTCTGCTATTTTTTGCGACTTTGGGGATTAATTACAAAAATGAATTAAAGCTACGTACTTCAAATTTGTTTAGCTACATATAGGCATATTTGTGCTTATGCCAATTTATTTTTCGCTTCTTTGAGTAGTTCAAATATTTTTACAAAAGATCTCAAAATCGACCTAGAAAACGTTTTCTGAACTAGTTTGCAGGTTATTTCAAAAAGGGCTTACAACAGAGCAGTGGAAAGTCCACGCTACTTTCCCAGCATGCTTATTTATAAAAGTGCCAATGCGTATATTGAAATAAATGCTCTTCTGTAAATAGATATAATCGCACTAACTTCAAAAAAAAAAAGAGCATGCAAGGGAAACTTTTATAAACTTTCCCCACCTATTCTTCAGCATATCAGCTTTCACTTACAGTTACGGCCCGTCAAAAAAATGCCATTGCGCAAGGACAGGCAATTGTAGATCGGACTTCCTGCCCGTTAAGTGTGGAATGCAAGCCTATATGAAAAGGCAAGGCAGCACAGAAATAGCTGTCGACTGCACTGAGAATGTTAATTTCAAAACGATTTGTTCACAGGAGCAACCATGACTGCTGGATTAACTAGCACGCAAGCGTGGACAGTCCAGCGTGTTCCTGGGTAAAGAGGGCTTGTTTTTGTGTCCTCAGACTGATAGATTGTGATAAAGCCGGGGGCAAGTTCCACGCATGACAATAAAGCATAGTTGCCGTATTTGCTCGCATAACAAATACATACCTAACTTCAGTCATAAAAATTTTGATTTTCCCTTCCCCACGTAATGAACACTCCCCCCCTACATATCATCTGCAGTCCCCCTAACGGACACCTGGTGCCTCCTCACCCATTGGCTGCCTTCTGTCTTTTATTACTTTGCCAACCCCCCTCAACCACCTCGCTTATCCGCTTACTCCCTCCCCCCCCTCGCCTGTTGCCACATGCCTATAGCTTAGGTCTTCCATCTTATCTGTGCCCCACAGTGGGGTCCACCAGTGGTGAAAGTGTATCGCAGCTGATAAGCACACAGCCAGGGAAGCTCACTAACCCCCTCCCCACCCCCACCTTTCTTTTTTAGCCTACTTTCTCTTTTCTTTACTCATTCCCTGTGAGTGCAGCCTTTTGGGCAGGGCGCTCCTGGACATCACAAGCAGATAACACTGTTGCCTAAATTTAAATGCAGGTGGCCCAGGGACAGCTTGCAGAAGATAGCGCCATGAACCACCGAAGGTCAGTAAAGTGCAACAAGGAAGCCGTTTCCAAACAGTGTACGCGTATGTAAATTGCAAAAGACTAAGCGACCTAACTTTTTTTTTTTTTTTGCATTACCACATTTTTTCATTCTCCCGAAAATATTTTTATAAAATTTACCCCGCATAAGAAACGCATCCCCAACTTTGCTCCGATTTTTTTAGAAAAAAAAAAAGTGCGTTCATTACGCGAGTAAATATGGTATTTTATCAGCTCTTTGCTCGCATAGCAGCAGCCACACGCTGTTAACACTGCAGAGGTAGTAGACATTGTTTGTGCTTTTTGTGTGGTAAGAGTAAACGCAAACAAAAGCACGTCTGCAATACCTACTTGTATATTTCATCAAAAGCGTCCGAAGATGACTGATCTAACTTGGGCATGGCAGGATTTCAACGCACTTGCTTGGCATGTAAATAGAGGTGATCGGCCAAGGTCACAGATTCGAGATCAGTCGCTCAAGTTCCGCGACCACATTTGGCGTCCGCACAAGAAACACTTCGAGGGATCGACGTGGAAGTTGAAGTATGACTGCGTTCCCTCAGTGGGAAGTACCATAAAAACTCTTGTCAGGAAATTGCGAACGCTCGCTTCCCATACGCGGGTGACAGCCACTTTATAAAGACACAGTCCGCACAGTCCGCTGCTCACGCTTCATTTGACTCTGATACTGCACGTGCTTTTCGTGGTGACAAAGTACAGCAGCAAAACATCATTATTCAATATAATTTCATGCGAAATTGAAGAGCCATATGCGATCACAAATTTCACATAATCTTCAGAACCGCATGTGCTCAGTATTGAGCAAAGGCCTTATTCGACAGGCCCTCTTCACACCCGAACATGGACTGTGCGCACTTGCTAGCTCAGTGATCCCGTACTCATGGCCGCTCCAGTGACGAAATATTTTCGAAATTGGCGTCCTCAGTGCAGTTGAGAGCTATTTCAGTACTGCTTGCTTTTTAAGAAACTAAAGTAAAGGCCTGCATTTCATACTTAGCAGGCAGGAAGTACAATCTACAATTGCATATTCTTCCAGAAAAGCATTTTTTGACAAGCCGTAACTGAAAGTGAAATCACATTATGCATTATGTAACATTATGCAACAAAGCTGATGTGCAGGAGAATATGTGGGAAAAGTTAAAAAATATTTAATTTTTTTTTTTAATAGTCGCCAGAAGTTTCCCTTGCATGCTCTTTCTTGAAGTTAGCATGATTATATCTTGTTATAGAAAGTGTTATTATAATAAGCTTTAGCAGTTTTATAAATAAGCATGCAGAAAAAGTAATGCAGAATTTTTCGCCACTTTGTCATAGGCCCTTTTTGAAATAAAGGCCTGTAAACTAGACAACCTTTAGGTCAAATTTGAGAATTTTTATAAAAACAGCTATACTATGCAGAAGATTGAAATGTCATTGAACGTAAGCACAAGTACGCCTATATTTAGCTAAACAAATTTGAGGTACGTAGCTTTAATATATATTGTATAATTCATTGCAAGTACCCCAAAAAAAAAAAAAACAGCAGAGCAGGTAAGCGTGGCACTCTACCTCTTCATCATTATTGATTTGCTATGCTTTGAAAAAATTTTTTCCAGCAAAAAAATTGATGTTTTTTTTTACCACTCATCAGGCAACACTATATAAAATGTTGAAAGAAATTTAAGAGGGCAACCAGCCATGCTTTGTTCAATCTTGCATGGAATCACCCACAAGGACTGTCATTCTCCTTGCACACAAGAAAAGCGCAACAGTTTTACTTGACAGAGAAGCTTGCAATAACAAAAATTCAAAATCTTGAAACCGACTTATAAGAAACTCTTCAGATAGAACAAAACATACTCCAGTCTGACATTTTCAAGCAACACCCAGAAGCAGCATCCTGCAAGCCGAGACACAGCTGGGATATTGTGGGCTTCTCAAGAGTCACAAACCTCGCGTCCCACACCTCCCTCCAATTGTGGATTTCAGATCTCCACTCTGTGGGTTCAAATATTTTCACAAGATTCTGGCTTTGCTTGTGAGTGGAATACCAGCCTACACACTCAACACCAGCCTCTTTGTAGAGGAAATGAAAGAAGTGACAACGAACAGTTTATGCGTAGATTGTCTCATTCAATGGGTCCTTATTCACATAGTGCCTAACAAACCTGCGGTCTCCAGCACACGAGCCACCTCTTTTATCCGGTGCAAGACCAATCTGTACATCAGAAGAGAAGATGTAAAGTAGGCAACTACCAAACTTAGGAGACTGATTCACAGAAGCCTTCATCGACCGTGTGTTCAGAAAGCAACCATGCTTTTACAGTAATGTCTCTGAAAGAAGTGCTACATTCAACCCCACTTTCTCTCACAATCTGCTTCTGCTGGCGAGAATTTTGGGTTCTCTAGAAAAAATAATGCCAAGGTGCCTTGTGAATCAATGTCAACACTTACTTGCCTACTGCCATGTCCAAAACACCTAGACTGTGGCAGTCCAGCATTTAGAATCTTTTCACCAAGTGAGAAATGTTTGTTTAATTAGAATACGACTTGAAAACTGTAGGTGGAAGCCACATGGTATTACAAACTACTAGTAAGTAGCTTGTTAGTCTGCCTAATGCAATGGCCTGAAAACAGCAGCTGCTATGAACTGCTGGTCACATGCTGCCAAACTAGTCCTCCCATACATACTTCCATGCCGATTTAACACAAGTAAAGATCAGAGCTTGTATATTGCTTTTTCAGAAATGCATAATAATATTATTTGGTGCTTTACGTCCCAAAACCACGATACGATTATGAAGGATGCCAGAGTGGAGGGGTCCGGAAATTTCGATCATATGGCGTTTCTTAACGTGCACCAAAATCGCTCAACACATGGCCTCTACCATTTCGCCTCCATTAAAATGCAACCGCCACAGCAAGGATCGAATTCGTGACCTTCGGGTCAGCAGCCAAGCACTGCAACCACTACACTGCCATAGTGTATCCTGTTCTTGTGTATCCTTTTATTCCTGTTCTTATCCCATCATATGTTCAATGAACGGACTTTGCCGACAGTGGCACAATTTTACTGAGAGTGCATGCATCAGACATGAGTGATACTATGCAAGCAGCACCATGGATTGTTGTCATGCATGCACTCCTTGTTTTCATTTACTTTTAAATTAAAATACTGGAGCAGAGGCTTGCCTGAATTTTCCCTGACAAACCAAATACTAATTAAGATGTACTGAAAACAAAAATTACCAGGGTGGTGCATGAGGGCACGCTTCCTGTAAGCCTTTTTGATGTCCTCCTCAGTGGCATCTTTATTTATACCGAGAACCTTGTAGTAGTCCTTGCGCTTGCTCTTTTTCAGCTCTAATTTAGCCTGATCCAGTAACCTTTTGTTTTCTGAAAAAAAAAAAAAAAAAAAGGAAGAACACTCAGTCTTGATGCAGTACACTGAAAGCAATGTAGCTTAGCACAAGTTGAACCACAAGTACCACTAGCCGCTGCAAGTACCACTAGCGGCTGCAACTCCCTACATTAACAGCTCGAGAGAAACTTGCCAGTGCATAACTGCATGAATGCCCGGGAAACTACATGCTACAGTTTAAACCCACAATAACGAAATTCCAAGAGAATGAGATTCTCACCGCAATGAAATATTTTCAGAGAACTGGCGAATGCCCATAGGAGTTCATGCATTTTGCAACTCGTGACCATGAAACAGTTTTGCCGCAGTCCCTCATGAACAAAATTTTCGAAACGAAAGTGCATAACTAATCTACTCTAGTAACATTACCTGCATTCAAAAACTTTCAAATGCATTCTTGGTAAACTTACTTTGTGCATATTGCCCCAGTGCACTTGAGCAGTCGACCCCATCACTGTTTACAAAAAAGAGGCTGACGACATTAATGATAATGATTTGCCCATTCGTACGGATGAGTGCACAGTTTCTTAACCAAAAATGCACACAAAAAAAAAAACAGTACAAACTACACCATTTCGAATAAACCACAAGATTATGAGGCGACTTTACAGAGGGTGCATGTTAATATTTTAATGGGCTGACACGGAAGCACCTGCTTGTTATGCCGACTCGTAATTGTGGACTATGTAGCCAAATCCACATCCCTCTAGTTTCTTTTGTTGGCATTGTTGGCTTTGCATACCCACTGCTTCCACACATGGTTACATGTGTGGGGTGGTGGAGCTATGAAATTACTGCAGGAAAACACTCGGCAAAATAAGATAATTGAATGTCGCAATAAAAAGTGTTTTTAGTCAATTCTGTCTTTTTTTTTGCGTTCTCGCACCAACGAAATTCTCGCGGGAGCAAATTTTTTTTGTTTTGCCAACCAATTTCATTATTGCGGGTTGCAACTGTACATTCCTGTAAATTTACAGCTTTTGGTAAAGTATGCATGTGTTACACAGTGCCACAAGTGCTACATAACAGGGTCTTTCCACTTTCATTTTTCGTGTCCCATTCCACTGTAAACACCGTGACGTTTAGGCTTGGAGAAATTGGATCTGCTATGTCTACTAGAACACTGTAGACAGGAGCTCCTTCTTACACACGTGTGCAGGCCACCCATTCCGACTTTATAGTCAGCGGCAAGGATGCGCCAGGCCGCCCCCCTTTTTCTTTGTGTGCTGCCGGACACTTTACACCACGCACAAGCCCCCCCGCACTCAGCGCCTGCTCCTTTTTGTCCCTCTTCCTGTTTGTAGCTCTCGGTGAACTCAACAGACAGCGCTCCAATGGACAACACTGCTCAAACAACGCTGTGCACAAGTGTCTTACTATTGATTATCTAGCTATCACAGACATCACAGCATTTTTTCTTCTCCTCCTCTTCATCATCCATCCACTCGCACCATGTCAGTGCAGTGGTAAAAGGTGGCTGGCACATCTCATTTAACGGTTGCTACGGTAGCAGCTGCTTTCCGGAATTTCGTTGAATTGGAGAACTAGGTTGCACCCCATAATGTTGTGAAAGGTCAGTTTTGCAAGATAGCACGCATAACGATCTCCAAGTGCACTAAAACAAAATTTGAGGTTAAGGGGGGACACGGGTCTTAGAAGGCCGAAAATCGCAAAAAAATCTACTTTTTGAAGCTGACATTTTCGAAATCTGCACCTATTTTTGCACTTATCTGAGAAGTTTTTAGCTTCTTGCATCATTATTTCTGGTGCAAAATCAATTTATAACATCCCTGTGAGATGAATGTGAGCGCAAATTGACGCTAAAATCGCGCTTTTTCCGTGCCAAACTGTTGCCGTTACACACGACCTATCGTGTTCATCTTGGTCTCATTTGGAAGGGTCGTTCTTCATCTTCAATTTCCCGCCACCGCTGGCTCCCCTTGCTCATTAGTTTTTTAGCAAAAACGCGTCATCGAGAAGCACTAGCGCGCGATTCAATTGGCTGCTTGGGGCACGTGACCAAATTTAGGCATCCGATTGGCCAAGGGGCGCTTTCAGCGTCTGCTTCACCATCGTGACGCGCACGGACATGCGCCATTTTGTCATGGTGCTACTGACTGCTTGCGACAGTAAAGAAGTTCCGTGCTACAGTGTGAAGCGGGTTTGGCAGTGGTTCGTTCGCTGTGAACTTCAGAAAGATCCCCGCTATGGCTCAGGACAACGAGGAGAATGAACTCCATGCGGTCAACGGCGGTCGCCGAGTCACCGGTGTAGGCCTAACTTACGTACGAGCCCGTTGGTTGCCGACAACGTTACTGACAATGGCTGTGTTTTGCAGCCTCATCAGTTAGAGGACGGCAACTAAAAAGCAGAAGTGATGGAACGGAAGTCCAGTCTTATCGCTAAACCCGCCGATGTTGTGGGTCCCCCCGCCTGACGAAAGGACCTTGAACTGCGCGACGGGTCGTCAAAGTGGAGTACGTCGCGCGTTGACTAACAACAAGAAGTCGAGCCGTTCACAGTGAACATGCTCACGGCCGTCGCAATGGAGGCTACTGGCAACAGGTAGACTGCTTTTAACGACGTGTTCGCAACGTTGTCGCGATCTCCGCTCGAAAATGCGGCAGTCTTACGTGAAAAGGAAACTAACACTTCGGCACTCGTGTAGCCTCGAAATTGATGAGCAAGGGAGCAATTTTGGTTTGCGACACTTATGGGTAACTTATTCTGGACAAGCCAGAAAACATTGCCGCGTTATTCGACGGATCGTGGATGACGCATGCACATTTGTCGCACATCGCCATCAGTACAGTCACCGAACTGATAAGCGGCCTCGCGGCAGACAAGCACACGGCGACAACTTGCTACAGGACTAGAAGAAACGACACGCTCGTACAAACAATCAGTCCTATTACATTCCCAGTGCATATTAATTGACTAAAAGTATGTGTGTTATGATATTTTTTCCCTCGGAATGGCAAAATTAAGTTTTAACAGCATTATTCTCGAAGCACAGATTTTGACCACTTTCTTTTGCTTGTTCGGTAAAAGTGGACCTAGGACAGCTAAAGCTGTAATTGTTTTTGCACAATGTAGCTAAATGTGCACAAAAAACAATGCTGGGAGCCTATTTTTAATGGGCAGCTTCATTTTTTATTTTCATACAAAAATTTCTGTATTTGGTTACATGCAATGAACTTTACTGTGCTGCAATTCGAGAAGTACTCCTTCAATTTTCGATCAGCTTGCAGGATTGCACTCCTTAGGCTTTCTAGCATTAATTTATATGTCAATGGCTATGTAATTATAAGTGCATACATTTTTACAGTTAAAAATGTTAGAAATCTTTGTTTTTTCAATTTCTCAAATGGCAATTTTGTACACTTTGCATGAATGATGATGATGTGTGGCGCTTTGTGGCGCAAGGGCCAATTGATGGCCAAAGAGTGCCATTTCGATGAGTAGAGATGAGACAACGATATGTTGCGTGGCTGTATAGGGGCCTTGAAATTCCTCGCGATAATGTGGGTAAAAACATAAGTATTAAGATCATGACAGTGGCGTGATATGCATATTAAAAGGGGTGACAAAGGTTTTGATAATAAAAACGTGTAAAAACATTTGGCACTAGCACACGTGCCTCATCAGCGCCCTTGTGTCCAAGGGCTGCGAGGCAAGTGCTTTTAAATGTAATCACTGCAGCAGCAACCTCTCTTGAGAGGTCACGCTACGCAATGCCTGGGTATATTACATAGTAAAAATTGACATCTCTTAAAAAAGCTAACAATGATTTATGGGTGAAAAGTGGTTCCCTACCGACAAACATTGCGGGGTGTAATGGTATATGTTGTCGGTAGGGTAATGGAAAGTGTTGTCTTCTTAGAGTGTCTAATTGTTTACATTGGATTAAAACGTGAAGAACTGTCAATGCCTCACCACATTTGTCACACAATGGTGGATCGCCACTGGACAAAAGATGTGTGTGTGTGTCGTGTATGCGTGTCCTATCCTGAGTCTTGTTAGTGTTACCTCTGTTAGACGAGATTTTGATACTGGTGGCCAATGGCCAAGGTGTGGCTTGATAACGTGTAGCTTGTTTTGTGTGTGTCTATCCCACTTGCTCTGCCAGTAGTCCCTGAGCTTTCATTTGAGAGACGGCTTAAGATCAAGGGGCGGGATCGATATGGGTGTAGTGGCACCGATATCGTGGACGGATGCAGGAAGCTGATCCGCCATCACGTTGCCTTGAATCTCACGGTGCCCTGGCACCCAGCACACTACAACATGTTGGTTGAGTGTGCATAAAATGGAGTAAAGTGAGACGAGGACAGGGTTTTTTTGTTTTTTAAGACTGTGCAGAGCTGTTACCACACTGAGGGAGTCTGTATAAATTACTGCTTTTTGTATTTGTAATTGTTTGATGTGTTAAGCTGCCACAAGTATCGCGTAAGCTTCCGCTGTGAAGATACTTGTGCCTGGATGTAGAGGGCCAGCATCCGAAAAGGAAGGGCCAACAGCAGCGTAGGACACAGAGGAGTTGGACTTGGAGGCATCTGTAAAGAACTCAGGACGTGTGTATTTGTGTTGAAGTTCCAGGAAGTATGTTCGGATATGGGCAATAGGCGCATGTTTTGTAACTTCAAGAAAAGACACATCGCAGTCTATAGTCTGCCATTGCCACGGTGGCGGGTATGCTACAGGAGCCATTAAACTGTGTTCAAGTGAGACTCCAGTTTCCTCAGCTAGACTCTTCTGGCGAACTGAGAAGGGCTGCCTCATCGAAGGCCTGTTTTGAAACAGTGTTGAGCTCGACAAATCAAATATTGTAGAGTATGAGGGGTGCTTCTTGTCTGCTTTCACCTTAAGGAAATAAACAAAGGACATGCAAGTTCTCTGCAGATGAAGCGACCACTCATTTGACTCAACATTAAGGCTTTCTACGGGGCTGGCGCGAAAAGCACCCGTAGAAAGGCGG